GTGTACATAATTTCGCTCCACCACATGTACCACATGAGGTGCGAATGACAATAAAGAAACTCTGACTGACTCTGACATCAGTGGATCTGTGTCAAACTTGAGCCGGCTGATAGACACTGTGCCATCTCTTACTAAGACTATGGAACTTTCTGGCAGTGTCCATGGACAACTCAGTGCCCTCAACGGCTTCCTCATTCATAAATGTATTATGATGTCATCAGTATGTTGCTGCTTCATGTGCTAAGGTCTTTTTTTTTCTTTGCAACTTTCACAATGTGTCCCGTCTAGGACACAGTGCGAGATTTTATTTATTTATTTATTTTTTACACCTTTTGTTCCCCCTTGTGTTTCTTTTTTTTTTATCTGGAAAAAAAGGGCTGCGCTTCTTGAGGCCGACGGGCTCAGTCACCTTCGTCTCCCCATGTCTGTTTGTTTATGTTTCTCTCGGACAGGCTATAATGAAATGTAATTTTGTTGTGCTTCGGTAACAACAAAGCTGATTCTGAAAATTGGAGCAAGTAAACATATTAATTCTAATGAATTTGACAACTGATCTGGATCAAGTGAATATTTCATTCTGATCCAGACCTAATCCACAGTTTACCGTAATTTACTACACTGCATCATATCCAAGTTTCCTAAAAATTTTCATATACATTACTCTTATAAAACGTAGTCTTTGATCTTTCCAGAATAAATCATCATCTAGAAAAACATGTTAGAGTCTGTATCCAGAATGTCCATGATGGAGACCAGTACTCTACTAGATCATAATCAACCTTGTAAAACTCCTGTAACAGTTCTATGTCGTATAGGCTTCGCCCTTTAAGGCTGTCGCTGATGGGTTTATCCCGTTATGCGCAGCATAAGCACTGAAAAAATTTAGTCCACGCCCACCTGCTGTGTGGGCCCCACCCAGTTCGTATAAATTACGTTAAGAGAGGGAAATCGGCTCCCATTTTTTCTTCAGCGAGCTAAAATAGCACTGTCAGAAGAACAAAGAAGGAAAATTGTGTAGATGACCAACCTTTGTTAAGGATGCTTGGCCCGCCCCTCGCACAGTGATTGCTGGACATGGGCACCAGCGACCCCCGTGACCCAAAATGGAATAAGCGGGTAAAGATAATGGATGGATGGATGGATATTCAAATGAGAAAAAAAAAAAAAGGATGCTTGGCCCGGCAGTCGACCTCCGGTTGTCCGGTGAGTTCTCCTCCCCGAGGAGAAGATGACGAGCAGTCCTATTCCAAGGTAAGTGCCGAGGAATATTTCCCAGTGACAGGTCACTACACGCTGGACAACGCCATCTTGTATCTTTTCCTCTTATCGCCGACCCTCGGAGCGAATCGGATGGTTCCTCCGGGATAGGCGTGCTCAGTTGCAGCCCCCGCTGCTCATTCCCTCCTGGGGAGCGTAGTGTCGGTGGAGGGGGGCTGAGTGAATGCTACGGCGCCCTCAGGGGTTGCCCGGCGTAACCCAGGAGGAGGCTGACATGAAAGGACCCTTTTTTACGTCCTACGCCTTTCCCACCAGTTCGGATGATCCGGCAGGAAGGTTGTTTACTGGGCTCCATTCCGGCTCACCGTCTTGACCCATATGGCCTCGTGCTGCCAACAGGACATCCTACGGGCGAGGCCACAGACGGGTTCTTTCCTGG